AAAAAAAGTAAAACTATGGCAAGGAAAGCTAGAAAATTTTATTGCAGGAAAGGGAAAGAAGATAAGATTTATAAATAGCGTCAAATATAGACAGGGTCAAAAGGGGGGATTAGGAATACCACAGCTCCTAAAATACTATGAAGCTTTGCAAATAAACCAAATTATTAAATTTATACAAATTGACGAGACTTGTAAAAATTCAGACTGGGTTAAAATGGAAAGTGAAATGAAAATGGACATAGTAAACAAGTATATTTATACTACAAAAACAATTGGAAAAGGAGAACAAATACAGAACCCATTCATTTCTGAAACATTAAGGATATGGAGAAAACATAGTAAAACATTGGCCCCCCCAGTATCCCCTTTATGTCCCCTCATGGATCACCCAGATTTTAAGTCTAAAGAAAAATATGCACAATTTAAGGAATGGAAGCAAATTGGAATATATAGAATTAATGACTTATTCGAGTCAGGGGAACCACTCACTATCAGACAAATAGAGGAGAAAACAAAGCAACTAAAAAGGAATTGGCAACAAATAAAACAAATAAGAACTTTTGCTACTCACTTACAGCAAAAAACTGGCCTTCTAAGAACATTAGCCGAATTCGCAAATCAGCACATCTGGGCCTGTGACAGTTCTGGTGGGATCTACTTTCGAGTTGGAACTCAACCTCTTAACCCAAGTTTGATGCTTCCTGCATGGATAATGATTGAGCCACCAGTTCAGGTGAAGCAGCTGCCTTCTTTTAATTCTGTAAATTTCCTGTATTTGGCTCTGACATGAAAAGATTCCTGTGTTTTGGACTTGGAAATGTTTAGCAAACTTTGTGCAATCCTGCCAAGTTGGAGAGAGGAGAATACATAAAATTAGACTGGGGAAGGAATTGCTCCATCACAGCTGTTCCCCTAATAAAATAAAATATTGTAAAATACTTTTATAGGCTTAAGTTTTCCAACACTTCTTAACTAAAATATCTTCATTCTTCCTTCCCCTAGTGCCCTCCAGATGTTCTAGACCAGTGGTCCCCAACCTTTTTAACTCCACGGACTGGTTGGGGAAGGCGGGGCACCCCCACGCTCGTGCACATGTGCAGAGTGGGCGCGTGCTTGCACAGGCACACGCACACTCATGTGCATGTTCGAAGGAACAGGGCGCTCGGGGGCATTCTTGTGCATGGACTTGTGCGCATGCGCAAAGGGACTATGTGGGAGGCATGTGGGGAGTGGGAGATCTGGGCCACGGACGGGGGGTTGGGGACCCCTGTTCTAGACTACAATTCCCATCATCCATAGCCAGAAGACTGAGACTTTTCCTTTGAAGCTTTTTCCTTCAGGGCCATCTGTGCCTGTAGGCAAGATGAGGAAGTTACATTAGGCAACAACCACCCATTTACAGCGGTGCCTCGCTTGATGAGTTGTAAAATGTTCGATTGTCTTTTCATTCTTTAGAAATAATTAAAAAAAAGTTATTAAATCAATGTCAGCTGAACTATTATAATTGGAGGCTCTTAATTGGTGGAGGCCTGTGTATATAAAGAAGCCTTTGCCTGTTGTCAAAGGAAGAGCAGGGAATGGGCATGGAGTCCAGATGCAGTCACCAAGAGTCCCCACCAGACAGGTTTTGGAAGATGGAGGAACCGTGAGAGGGGCCTTTCCAACAGAACTTAAAGCCCAGGTGGATTCTGTGGGAGGATATGGTATAACCTGGACCCTAGTCATATAGGGCTTTATAGATCATAAGCAGCAATTTGAATTGTAGCCAGTAGAGCTGTTGGAGGGAAGGGAGTTATATGTTCCCTATAACTTGCCCCAGCCAGCAGTTTGCACAGTTTTGGACCAGCCAAAGTTTCAGTACACTCTTTAAATGTAGTTCCATTTAGATAATTGTTAAGTGAGGCACCACTGTATATTCTTTATGAAGATATTTCTAGCCTAGCCTACCCATAAAAATCTCTGGTTATTGGTAATGTTGGCCGGCGGCAGCAAAATGCTTGAAGGGGGCCTTTTTTGTGTCTCGAATGGTGCAGCTCCTCTGTACAAAATATCAGAGCGAATTCTGAGCACTATTGCAATCCCATGTTCTCTCGCATCATTGTTCTGTAAGCTCTTTTTATCTCATGACAGACGGTTGCTGCTGGTATGAGAAGTAAGCATGGAAAGGACAGAAGGGGAAGGAGAAAATAAATATTGGTTGTCTATTTTCCTCTGACTCGACATAGTACAGTCCCCATAACTGTCCCATGTGCAGTATTAAATAAGGGATCTGGACCAAGGATTTGAAAGATTATTTGTTAATAAGAAATGGGATTTGGCAAGCATCATATGATACTTTCTCCAATGGATTTTTTCCCTCCCAAATGCTACAATGGGTCTGCATCAGAAAAATAATATGAATGGTCAGCTTCATAAATCAAGAACTGAGTACAGAATTATTTTGTTTATTTGATTAAATGTGTATTCTGCCTTTCACTCAAAAACTGGGACTCAGGGTAGTTCACAGTATAAATTTTTTTTAAAAAAATAAGCTTTTTAAGTACTTTGCAAATACTAAAACGTAATTAAATCAGTTACCGTATTAAAATAGAATTGATTTAAAAACCATTTTAAACCATTTTAACCATTTTGCGAATACATTTTAAAATAGTACAGTTAAAAAATAATAATTACAATTGTACTAATATGTGTTGCTTTAAAAAGCAGCTCTACCCAGAAGTCACAGTATTACTTTTTTCTATTTTTTAATTTTTTAGAAAACTTCAAAAAAAACAACAACAATAATAAGGATTATAATGCAAGACCTATAACCCAGTTACCTGTTCAGTTACATACACTGTAATGAAGTTATCTTTATGAATAATATTATCCATTCCTGTAGTCTATTAATACAGTGATTCTATCAAGCTTCAGAGACAACAGGGGGCATTCTTGTGCATGGACTTGTGCGCATGCGCAAAGGGACTATGCGGGAGGCATGTGGGGAGTGGGAGATCTGTCCAGTGGGAGATCTGCCCAGGCCATGGACCAGCACCGGGCCACGGACGGGGGGTTGGGGACCCCTGTTCTAGACTATAACTCCCATCATCCATAGCCAGAAGACTGAGACTTTTCAAGCTTCAGAGACAACAGGCCAGTACTGCAGCCAATTCTTCAAAATGTTGTCTTTTATGTAATTCCAAACCAAAAAATGAAACTATCTTGACTCAAAACATGTTTTTACATATTAGATATAATATACAATTATGTTGACTCATAATATGTTTTACATATTGCATATTAAATTTGCATTCAGCTCTGAATGCTTCTATAGAAGAACCTCTTCCTGGTTATCTGGAGTTCTTTTATTTTCAGTGGCATAATTTAGAATGTGGGGAATTATTTGCTTTATTTGTTAAACAGCTGACTCATGGCAGATCATTAGATCCAGATCTGTCATCTGCCGTCCCCGGCATAAAATGCAAAGCAACTTTCAAAATACAGTCTCTGTGATTAGCACGGTAGAGCAATGTAAAATGGCAGTCAGATCGAATGATTTGCCTTATCTGAGAACTCATGAGTCATAAAATGTGCCTATGAGCTGCTGCATTTTGTTTTTCAGTGCTTCTGGTTGTGTAATGTGCTAGAAGTCTGGGGTTATGTGACTTCTGTCATTATTGCTACAGATCATAAAGATGTCATCTGAAATAAAGTGGCCTTGCTTTGATTTTTCACTAGCTTTTTTTAGTAATTAAATCTTACCTTTGCTAGTGAATCTAACCTTGGATAACAGTGGTTGTCATTAAATCTAGGCTAATTACTAATAGACCCCTTCAGAAGTCATAAATTCATAGAGTTGCCATAAGTTGGAAACCACTTGACAACACACATCAGCAGCAATGACTGAAAAATGTGTTCAATGTGTTCACGGTCCTCATGTCCTCCTTGCAGCCTATGGGATGACTGTTGTTTTCTCCTCTTTTTTTCTCTGGTGTGAAAGCTGATCCCTTGTTTACTGTCCTTTCCTCCTGTTTGCAGAGCTGAGAAGAGCAATCAGTAGAATGACAGAGAGGAGAACTATTGAAATATTTAATAGTTTCATCAGAATATAGCATGTGCTGCACTTTTTAAAAGTTATAAAGAAGTGTCAGAATGGCAGCTGGTTTTTTAAAAAATCACGGGCCATTTTGATGAAAAGTAGCTCTTCTGCACAGTCATTTTGAGAGTTTTCAAAGTAAAGCTGTCCTCTTGCAATGATTTGCTACAAAGGTGTGTTTCTACTTTAACATGAATGTTAACATTTAACGTCAGAGTTTGGTTAAATTTTGTAGAATTTGTTCTTGAGTAATAAATGCATTAGATAACTGGATAAGTACTCCTAACATTGTACTGGACTTTGTACTTCACAGAATGTTGGTCAGCATGTTGGTTAGAAGCTAAGGCCTTTTAATTAAAGTTTCTTCTTTATATCCGAAGTGATTTGTGGGTATAAAAGCCAGGGAGAAATTTGCCTTGTTGATGTTTACTTACACAACTGCTTGTTTAATTCCTACTTCATTCTTTAATGGTATGTCAGATCATCATGGACAATTCTGTTCTTGCCCTGATGAACTTCTATAACATCATCATTTGAGGTTTCTCAAGATATTTTGAATATGTTAAAAATCTGGACCTCAATCCTAAAACAAATTAGCCCGAAGACAATCCTGAAAGAAAGTTTCCTATCCTTACTTGACATCCTCCCTGCAGATTACTGTAAGACACACACGTACTGTAGCTTCTCCAAAGAGTTAAGGATTCCTTTCTGAACAATGTGGCATGGAACACAGGTAGCAGCTAGGAGATAAAGGTAATAAGGAACTTTGCTTCCATAAACTTCTTTACCTTTACTTTTTGTAGGATCTAAGCCCAGTGTGGGGTCATTTCTTTTGCCTCAACAGTATCTGGTACTCCATGCCATAATGTTCATAGGAGAAAATAATGATCTACTGATCTTCTAGAGGAGTTTTTTGGGGAGAGTGGGGAGGAGATGGATGATTTTCATTTCATGCAGTTTCTTTTCTTTGCTAAGAATTAAGATATTTTCTCTTTTTGTCTTTCATTCTTGGCTGATTCAGAAGATATGTAATATTTAAAACAGTGAGAGAGAGAAAACTGCATGCAGGAAATTATTAAATTATGATCATCTTGTCAGAGGTTTATTATATAAGCCTTAAGCAGAGAAGGACTGCCACATTTTGATCCTTTTCTAAATATCACCTCTTAGAGGAATAAAAATGAAGCTATAAGCAGGGCAAATGGCAGTTAGCCATCACCAAGGGTGGGTCTGCTTCACCTTACCTAGGGCTAAAACTCTGCTCAGCATTTGGAAGGCAAGGGAGAAGATGATTAAATAAAACATGTATTGCATTGTTTACGCATGAGAGATTGGTTTATGCTATTTTTGGTGTTGGGAGTGGTTTTTGGTAATTTGTCATTTTTTTTCTACTCTCTCTCTGTATAAGAGATAAAGAAGGGTGGTGATCTTGTCTGGTCATGTACAGTAGGTGAAACTGAAAAACGAACAGCTGACAGATGATGTTCAGCTTCAAATGCTGAGGTAATCGTGATCTTATTTAAGAGACACTTGGAATTTAAATCTCTGTTAAAAAACCTTTAGAGTTTGAAATCAAAGCCAGAAGAGGTGTTTAAATGAGCATGTAAGGCAACACAGTAGTTGCCGGAGAGAACTGTAAATGAATCTCCCACATACGGAATTCCTTGAAGCATGGTGAATTCATATGCAATAAGATTTTGGTGTGAGAGCATTTCATCAGTGTCTACTTCAATAAATGCTAATAGCATCTTACTCGCTACATCCTGAAACAGCTGCCACAGATCAGGCTAGGATGCAAAACTGTGTTTAGAGGAAAGGGGAGTATGGAGGCTGGTTATGGTGGGCAAGTAATCGTCAGAGTAAGTTATAAGCATCGTGCCTATAGTTTTTGCTCCCCCCAATGCCATTTTGCAGAGGAAAACTGAGAAGCTGATGTTTAGAGATACACTTTTTGGGCTAGGTTATTATTGAACTAAGAAAAAAAATGCCTGACATGTCAAGTACAGTAGCTCCTTTTTCAGCTCTGTTTTTTTCCTACTACTCTTCTTAAAGAAGGCAGTCCCTCTCTGGTAGTGTGGGTTAATGGGGTTCCGCAATTTGCAGCAAGCACACCGTGACTCATAGTAGTGGGTGTGTGGATAATAATACCCTGGAAACTAGTTATGTGACTTTGTCCCGCTGAACTCGCCATGTGAAGACTGATGCTCGTTTGCTGTCTTATCAGTTTGGCTTACAAAGTCTGCCAACGCATGATAAGGCATTTTGTGCTTCTGCAGAAGATGTTGATGAATAGGACTGAACTGTCTGTCCTTAGAGACCTCCAGGAGAAGGGCTAAGCATTTCTCATGCTGTAGCACTCAAAATGTTTTTCAAGTGAGCAGCATTCATGATATTTGTAATAGCTGTTTTTCTTGTACAAAGTGATCTTTCCAGGGATTCAGCAGAAGCTGCATTTATAAAAGTTTGCTTTTCAGAGAATTGAGATTTCTTGCCAATGTCTTTTGAGTCCCACAATCCAGACCAAGGTATATGACAATGAACTGCGTAGTGATCAGATCCAAGGTTGTAAAGCACAGATCTAGGGCTGTGTGCCTCATCTTAAGGGGCGCTGTGCTGACATAGATGGTGTACAATTTCCTTTGAATAGAGTTCTCTCCTTGGCAAGAACGATGTACTGTGCAAAAAATACCCATTTTTGCAAAATATTTACTAGCCCTCCCCCCATAAAATTACCTGGTTTTTGTTAGGCAGGTTGCATAATTTGTCCAAAATTAAAGTGATTTTATTTTTTCATGTGCAGCAGTCTACATTTATTCAAATTACGGTCCTGTCATCTTCTGGTTGCTGCACAGTGGTGGAGGGCGGGGTTTCACTTAAGTGGGGCTTATTTTGGGGTAAGGCTTCTATTACGGGCATCCTGAAAAATTATACAGGGACTTATTTTCAGGTTAGGTCTTATTTTCAGGAAAACAGGGTAATTTTTGAGTGGAGGAGAGGTTTTTTTTTGTCTCCTAGATAGCTCAATGGTTTAGAAATTTGGCTGCAGAGTCAGAGGTTGGGGGGTTTGGTTCCCCACTGTGACTTGGGAGAACAGCCAGCCTGTGTAGTCAAGGGCAAGCTGCACAGTCCCAGGGTATCTCCAGAAGAAGAGAATGGTGAACCACTTCTGTGTATTTTCTACCTGGAAAACCTTGGAGAGGATCCTCAGAAGTCTGAATTGACTTGATGGCATGCAGTTGTTGTTGTTGTTGACTGAAGCCAAGAAATCATGCAGGGATTTAAAACTACTAGTCACAGGGTTTCTTTGTGTTGTTACAACATAAATCAACAAGGACAAGGAAATCGTCAATTATTCTTTCCATTCCCACTCAGGTTCCAACTATCATAACAACTGGAAGCCTCCTGTAAAGATATCTAATTGTCTAATTCACTGGTTCTTAACCTTTGTTACTCAGATGTTTTTGGACTACAACTCCCAGAAGCCTTCACCATCAGCTCTGCTGGCTGGGGTTTCTGGGAGTTGCAGTTCAAAAACACCTGAGTAACAAAGGTTAAGAACCACTTTAATGATAGCATTCAGGGAGAAGAGAGGAATAAAATTTGTCTACTGAGTTTAGGTGGTAGCCTGACATTACTTTCAGTGTGCCACCATGTAGGGCAGGAGTGGGGTAACTTTGGTGGCCAAAGTTTTATTCTAACACCCTCCATGAGAAGAAACAGGTACAGAAATGATCAGATATCAGCCTACACTTTTGATAGGGAAGTAGGATGTACAAACCATCACCACCACTAAGAAAGTCCTCTAGGAGTGGGAAAGGCATTTGTATGGTATTAAAAAAGAGCACATAAGGCGATCCTAAGTCCATAGGGACTAGGGAGGGCAAAATGCCCAGCTCTTTGGAGGCACAGGGAGACCATAGGCCATATATTACCATTGCCTTGGACCAGAGGTGGGCAACATTCAGAAAGACTTGCATGCGTCTTCCAATTTAGGAAGAAAAAAAAAAGGATGGAGGTTTCCAAATAAGAATGTACTTGGGCAGTTCCTCTCAGCCACCACTTCCTAATAAAATTAATGTTGCAACAGAAGAACCACACGTAATGTTACAACAGAAGAACCACACATGGATATTATAAGACAAGTGTTCCCAACCCCATTGATGTTTTGAATTATAGGTCACAATGTCCACAGCTTGTAGGACTAATGGTCATGCCAAGTTAGGATTTTGAGAATTGTAAGATAGCATATGGTTTGAGGGGGCATCAGACATGAAAGACCAGTCTTGAAGTCAGTGGTCAGTCTTAAGTTGGAGCAAAATTCTTCCAACCTCCTATCTTCTATCAGCATCTAGGTATTGGTGTTTTCTACCAGCAGAAGCATTGAAACATCTTAATTTATAGTTTTGTTGTTGTTGTTGTTGTTGTTGTTGTTGGCATGGCAGATTTGCTCTGGATTCATTAATGCAGTGGTGATTTTAAAATGATTTTGAAATAAACTATAGGATCTGTATAAATATTACTGGAGGAAATGCTGTCAAACTCAAATATTAGGAGTGTCTTTTTTCCCATCCAGATAAAACAAGCAGAGTGTTCGGCTCTCAAACGCTTTGCATTCAGAACATTTTCTTCACTCTTCTAATGGTCTTGTTTAATCCCCCTCCTTGGATTATCTGTATAGAGTAGGGTTTCATAATATTAAACCCTATTTTTTTAACTTTTGTAGCCAGTTGGAGTCAATTTGATCAGTGTGTATTCGAGTCCTAACGACCAGAGTCTGTGGGCAATTGACAGCAAATGGAACATTCATGTACGCGCAGGGATCACCGAGGAAATGCCTGTGGGCACAGACTGGGAACAGGTTCCAGGTAAGTGTACTTGATGGGCTTATTCAGATACTGTGATCAGAAAATCACAGTTGGATGACAAAATGATTCAACCACCAAAATATCAAGTTATTTTAATGCGCTAAAATGTCAGCAATGGCTGATAGTGCACAACAACAAAATATCATGTTTCATCTCCTGCAATGCAGAATCAGTTGTTTCTCTTGATCTATCTAGACAAACAGCTGCCAGTCACTCAAAGAATTCTCTCTACTGGGAGTCCAAACTTAGTAATCCTTAGAGAAGGCCTGTAGGGCATGGAGGCAAATGTGGCAAATGAATGTAAACACAAATATCAATACTCTCATGTCAGCAAATGTTCTTTTTTTCTTCTTCTGCCTGATATTAAATGTTAGAGAAAGCCATGTACAATCTGCAGATCAGTTTTGGAATAGTTTGAGCAAGTGTGTCCTTCACATGTCTTTGGGTTTAGGACTTCAGGCGTGTGAGCTGGCCATAAGTACACGGACTGTTTGGGCACGCTGTCCAAATGGGGATATTGCACGGCGCTATGGCGTCACAGATAAGAATCCTGCCGGAGATTATTGGAAGAAGATTCCAGGAAACGTTTCTTGTTTAACAGGTGTGTTCTTTGATATGCTCAGTGGTGTTAAAGGAACCGTGGTAGGGATTCTGGGAACTTCGTTTTTGAAGTGTGGTGCATGGTCGCTATTTTAATCTCCTTGGCTTTTGTGTTTGCTGTGTCCCAGGTCTGCAGAGGGTCATAATATCTGGATGTTAAAGTGTACAGTCTTCTCCTCTAAATGTTCTTAAAAGAGGACATACAGTCGTGCCCTGCTTTACAATTACCCCATTTAACGACGAATCCGCTTGACAACGATGTTTTTGCGATTGCAAAACAATGATTTGAATGGGGGTTTTCCGCTTTGTGATGATCAGTTCCCTGCTTCGGGAACCGATTTTCGCTTTGCGACGATCAAAAACAGCTGATCGTTGAGTTTCAAAATGGCCACCGGGGGTACAAAATGGCTGCCCGCTGGGTTTAGGAGCCAGTTTTTGCTTTACAGGCACCTGAAAATGGCCACCCCTATGGAGGATCTTCGCTGGACGGTGGGTTTTCAGCCCATTGGAACGCATTGAACGGTTTTCAATGCATTTCAATGGGCTTTTTTTTTTGCTGTACAGCGCTTTCACTGGAACGAATTAATGTCGTTAAGCGAGGCACCACTGTACAGAGATTATGCAGAAAGCTTTGCACAGAGTTTATTAATCTGCCTCTATCCTCATTTCTCAGCATAGCAGTAAAATTTGCAGCAGTGCCTTTGGAACATCAGGCTGTCTCTGGGTCTTCTGTATTCTGGATGACTAATGAAATATCCCTAACTCATGTTATTCACTGAGAACACCAGCGCTTCAAAAGTTAATTCTACAAAGACTGCCCAAAATTCTCCCCAAGTCACCTCTTAAAAGTAGTGTTTTTAAAGGCAATGAGAAAATGTTACACACATAAAAAGACATAACATTACCAGTTCTTAATGTTGCTTTTAATGAGTAACGTCTTACTCTTTAAAAATGTTACTTGTAATATGTTACATTCCAGCTTTGTCTGAAATATCTAAGCTCTCACGCCTCCTTTATTATCATCCAGCAATTTTATTTATTAAAAATAAAGACAAAAAAACTTTATTTTTAAATTAAAATAAATGCAAATACATTTGGTTGAGAAATTTTAAATTCTGTGATCACTTTCACAGAAATTTGTTCAAGCTGATAAAAATACTTTGTCTTTCAAATTTACCCCTTACTTTATTATATTAAAAGATACAAATGTCTGCAACCATTTTTAAAAAGCAAAAAGAGTATGTTCCGTTTCTCACTTTCTTGTTCCAATGCAAAACAAATATTGCCCATTGCTCATAAATTGTGTGCATACCTTGCAATGTACCCTCTAAGCTTTGTGGCTGCACGGCATTGTATTGGTGCTGCACACCCACAGTTGCCACTCATTTAGTTGTGATCACAGCTGGAATTTGACGCATGGAGGATGGAGTTTCTGCTCTGTGCTGGTGGAAAATTAGAGTGAGCATTGATACCTTGCAAATAAGTTTTTTTTCATCCTCTGATAATGTGTCAACTTTAGCTTAAAAATTGATACATTATTGGTATTCCAGATAGGATAAAACCAGTCATTTGCAGGTAAATATTATGTCTAAATGTGCTCTACTTTGGAATTTGTTTGCACATCCCCAAGTTAGGGAATCATTGTGGTCGACAAATACTTTGACGGTGGGCAAAGTACAGACCCACATTTTCATGTGGCTGTTTTCATGTCCCCTGGCCTCTTATGCCTTCTCTTTTTCCAGCAAAAAAAAAAAAGATGAAATGCAACTCCTAGGAGTGGCTATTTACCTTTTAAATGGGACACAGCCCCCCAGCACCATTAGCTCCCCAAAATATTTGTTCATACATCTA